TAAGATTGTAATGGTCACCTTTGTTTTATAAAATTGTTTTACATAATTATATAAAAAATTTAATAATATATATTATAATACATATATTTATAATACCTATATATAAAATACTTATATACCTATTAAAGACCCGCCCTTTACTCTCTTTCAAAGGTAACTTATATACACACATATACACTATCATCTCACATAGCGTGGTAGTATAGTAACGGAGTTTTTTGTACGTAAGATACGTTCACGGATAAACGTGCAATTTACGCGGCACGTGTTATATGCCGTTTCGTGCGGCCTATATACCATCCAAAAGATCGTAACTCTTGGAGTTATATTCTTTTTCAGTACCGGCCAGGCCCTGTTGTCCAGTTACTGCTAGCTCCTTCATTCAGATACGAAAAAGAAAGTAAAAAGAAAAGAAAAACAGAAGAAAAAGAGAAGAACGAGCAGACCCTTTCTCGTCGCTCTTGCAATTTCCAACTTTCCATTTCTTTTTTTCTTTTTCATTCTTTTTCTTCTTTTTCTTCTTTTTGCACGAGTCAAGTCTCGCAGACGTTGCAGTAGAAAGAGACAAATAATGTCAGACAACTTTTCGTTCGAGATAAGATGAGAACAGTCGTTATAAGTGTGAACAGCTCGAACGTAAGTTGATACGTTCGAAAATGTTCGAAAGATACATGTTATATATGTATGTATGTGTGTTTCTGTGTCTGTGAAGTGGAGTAAAGGTGGGGGAATGGTTGCATAAGAACGACCGACCTTTATTTGCATTCCTTTGATCGATTAATTTATCGATCGGCCACGCTCGAACAACGTAAGTGGAAACGTTTTTTTTGCCATCTATTCTATGGGGGAGGAGGAGGAGAAGGAGGTGGTTAGGGTTATATAGCACAAGTCTTTATTCCATTCCGTTGATTTATCGAATTATTTTTTGAATGCAATGAAAACCACGACCAATCGCGTCATTTATTATTTTCTTCCTTTCTTCTTCTTCCTCTTCTTTTCTATTTGATCATTCTCGATACGTTCGTGTTATGTAATCGAGTAATGTTTTTTTATTCGAAGAAATAAAAAAGAAAATAGAAAAGGATCTCTGATCTAATCTTGTTAAATGTTCTTTCACGTAGATCTTTATCTATGATGATGATCATGATGATGATGATGATGATGATGATGATGATGATGATGGTAATTTTGTTAAAACTTTCAATGATATTCATTTCTTTTATTTTTTTTTTTTTACAGATAAAGAAGATGAAGAAGAAGAATATAATATCTGGATCACCATCAGCACACCGATAAAATTTGCCGGTCCAATGCGAACGAACAGCCAAGCATGTTTGTTGCAACGTCACCATTGGCTATTCGTACCGTTATAATGACAATACAAACATTCTTCTCTATTTGCATAGAATTTCTATCGTTCCGCTGCATTCTTCGTATACGCCAATGGAAACACGCCCGTATTACAATCGTTCTTGATGGAAGCAATAACTTATTTAACACAACTCGAACACCAACCAGCAATTTTTGTTTGAGATCATATTCGCACCATTTTATTCTGTAAATATGATTGTATATTTATATGTATTGTATATATTGCATATTTCATTGTATTAGACTGTTTGAAAAATTAATGTTGATTAATAAATATAAAAATGGTTAAAATTTTAAATTGTCTTTATAGTATCATCATGAATTTTTTGATGTCACCTTGTAGAAAACTATAATAATAATGTTTTGTAGATTGTTATAAAAATTAATGAAGATTGATATTTGTTTTTTAATTGTCATCGAATAGATTTATTATAAATTCGTCACGAATTTTTTGATGAATTTTTATAGTAAAAGGATAATATTTTACCGATTGTTCCCAAAATTAATGAAGATTGATATTTGTTTTATAATTGTCATCAAATATTTTTATTATAAATTCGTCACGAATTTTTTGACGAATTTTTATAGTAAAAGGATAATATTTTACCGATTGTTCCCAAAAATTAATGAAGATTGATATTTGTTTTATTATTGTCATCGAACATTTTTATTATAAAATCATCACGTATTTTACAATGCAATCTAATAAATAAAAAATACTCGTCCAAGCCAAACAATTCGTATAATAATATTTCTCGTATTCTTCTCATATTCTGATTTCGTATTTCATACGAACAAAAACTATTATTCGCTTTTTATTGGCATTTACTAACACATCGGAATAACATATAGAAAATAATGAAAAGTGAGAAGAATACCACCTAACAGTTTTGGTGAAATCGCGTTATATTATTATACAATATATTATACTCATACTATAGCATACTAATCACGGTTACTACGAACACGTTTTGTATTTTTTTCTTTCTTTTTCGTTTCCGTTTACTCTGACGTAGTGCATCCGTTGATCTTGCTCGTAAACGTTCGAAACGATGCGTGATTCCCTGTTCCTAGGTTTACTATCATTCTAGTTACATTTTTACTACGTGATATTCCGTTAAATAATTTTTTATACTACCAACAACAACGATAAGAACAAAAGTGATCGTTCGTAAGATTTAAAAAATTCCTAACGATGAATAAAATTGCGTTCTTAGAGATAAATTATGATCGTTAAAATGAATCAATCGATGATTATAACAAGAATCATTATGTTACTTGGAATAAGAGAGTCACATGTGTTATTTCAATTATTTCCTATCGTCGATTATTACAAAATACATCGTTAGAAAAAAACTATGAAAAAAATAAATGAGAAAAAAATTCAAACCACACCCTCACCCCTATCCTCACCCCACCCCACCCCGAAGAATATCGAAGGCAATAATAATCGATTTAATTGCAATAATAAATGATTTATCTTGCAAGGACTAATCGATCATTCTAGATCATAACGTTTGCTCGTCATGAATCTTCCTTCTTTGCTCGAGGTTTCTAACTAAATATGGAAAATGCAAGGCAATATTTTCTAGTCGTCCTTCTCGTCTTGAGAAACGTAATTAAAGAACCACACTGAACGATTATAAATTCGGTTTCTAAAGTAATCTAAACTATCAAGTATAAGATTCCATTCTGGAGATACCTGCTGCTGGTATTCCTATCGGCTTACTGCATTTATCACGACAAATAGCATTCTTCGGTTCCAAGGATATCCACCGAAGGTAGAACGAAAACTTTAAGAGAAAAACAAAAATGATAATGTATTTTATTATTCTATGTAACTTGTAGTCCTTCTTTCAGAATACTGACACAACGGATATAGATTACTTTTATAATATTTCTATCGTGATTTTGTTTATAATTACTTTTAATGCAAAATGATGTTTCTTTTTTTTAGGGTAAAGATAAGTTAAAGTAAAATTAATATCGTTGAATTAATTGTAACAAATATTTGTTAAGAAATTTAACGAGTAATTTTATTTTTTTAGAGTAATGGTAACTTTGATGGAGTATTTTTATAATATTTTTACCGTAATTTTATTTATAACTATTTCAACGTAAAAAGGTGTTTCTTCGTTTAGGTTAAGGATAAATTGGAGTAAAATTATATTATAATATTATTCCAATTAATTTAACAATTATTGGAGAAAAGTCACGAGTAATTTTGTTTTGTACAGTAATGGTAACCATGATAGAATACTTTAATAATATTTTTACCGTAATTTTGTTTATAACTATTTCAACATAAAAAGATGTCTCTTTTTTTAGGTTAAGAATAAGTTGGAGATTAATTATATTATAATATTATTATAATTATATTATATATTATTATATTTAATTTAACATATATAATACTTAGATAAATTCATTTTTTGTTTAATTTTGACTTACAATTAGACCAGTTTAATAATCATGAGCACATATTTAAAGTTAAAATTGTAAAGTATCATTTTAACAACTTGAAGATAAAAATACTATCATAATAATATCGATTGGATAAAAATAACTTATCATGACTACATATGGTAAGATGAAAATATAAAATTGTCCCTCAGAACTTCGAAATTTTATTTCTTTTTCTATTTTTTTTTTTTTTTTCAATGGACACGAACGAAGGAGTATTATAAACAATTTCTTCTTGTCTCTGAAGGAGTTTTAAAAAGAAAGAATACGATCGAAGTTACGATATTACATATCCGAGTATTGTACGAGATTTCAACTCGCACTTTCGCAATCCTTTAAAGAAAAGACTTATTATCTTATGGTTAAACGTAGGCTGCTGTGTATCGAAGGCTGCCGAGCGTAGGTCGAACTATCCCGTGGAGTAGCGCTCGTTCTCCGAAAATGGACATGTGAGTTCGATGAAAAAAAAAAAAAAGAGAGAGAAAGAGAAAGAGAGAGAGAAGAAAAGATAAAGAAGAAAAGATGGAATTTCTGACTTTCGTTTTATTCTCGGTACGGTGCACTTGGATGCGTTTCCACACACACATCCCACTTGGATATTTTATTTTTCGAATAGTTATTTCTTACTTTCCTCTTTTTATAATGATCTTCAAAAGAATTATTTACTACGTCCTTGATACTATGTTATAAATATCATCCAGTGATCTAGCTTACGTTTAAATACCGTTAACAATTTTTATAATTAATGTTTTTGTAGGTTGATTTTAATTTTAAGAAAATGAGAATAGAAAGATGTTATTTAAGATGATTGTGGTGAATCAAAAGTTCGTATTTTTTTAGATAGTGCAATTTTTGTGAAATCGAAAAAATTATTTTATACTATGCTAGTGAAATATGAATTTAAAAAATGCATTTAATTTTAATAAATTTAGTGTATTTAGTGATTTAACTTATGTTTATATATAAATACGGTTAATAATTTTTATAATTAATGTTTTTGTAGATTGGTTTCAATTTTAAGAAAATGAGTATAGAAAGATGTTATTTAAGATGATTATGGTGAAACAAAAATTCGTGTTTTATTTCAAATAATATAATTTTTGTGAAATCAATAAAATTATTTAAAATCTAAGTGAGATATGAATTTAAATAAATGAGCCAAATTTTGATACACCCTAATATTTATTAGTTGTTAAATTTTATACCAAATTGAAAAACTTAAAGATAAGATATTTGAGTTTCTAATTGAAAACCAATTTGTTCTTTACAATAACACTTGGAGATGAATCATAAAAATATATACGAGTTACCACGGAAAGTTGTTAGCTGTTATCATCCATTTAGAGAGAAAAGAACAAGGTAGGAAAGGAAAACAAAAGAAAAGAAAAGCAAGAAAGAAAAGAATAAAAAAAAAAATGAAGAAACGTAGAGGTAGAAAAAAAAATTCCTATGATTACGTGAGAAATGAGACATATGAGACGTTGAGAAATATTTCATGCGGGACGCGTATTCGAGGACAAGAGTTTTCTATGTCATAGACGAGCTTAGGCGTGTTTTATCCTCCCCCCTCCCCCTCTTACGACTACACTACATTCACGCATTCATTCTAACATAAAGTCAAGTTCTTTCATTTTGTCTTTTCTTTCTATCTTTTTTTCTTTTTTTACTAAATAGAACATCAACTATGTCAATTTCAAACCAATAATAAGACGTTTGGAAAAATTACGATTAGAAAATAATGTAAGATCATAATTTTGTTTTTTGTTTTTTGTTTTTCTATCACCATAGTTGATATATGTTATCATTATCTCGTAAACTGTAGTTATCGATCATAACTGTAACAACTTATTGGAAACTTTTAATAGCTCGTCTTTATGCTAAGAAATCGGGGAACGAGATAACTTCATGATAAAAAAAAGAAATAATAATAAAAAAAATAAGAAAGTAAAAAATTGTAGAAGGTTGTTCATTGCATCCTAAGATCCTCGATCGCGATACCGCATATCATGTTGGATGGAATTTGAAGAAATTTCAAGGCGAAATGAAAATGTTTCTCCAAGAGTCGGGCGAGAAATTAACTTGGAGAATTTATGTTTCACGCAAAAGTAGGGTCAAGTTGTAGAGTTTAAAACAGAGATAAATATCTTACTTATTATCAGATAAAACATTATCAGGAATTCTCAACCCCTTTTAAGCAACAGCAATTTCATTTTCTTTCATTGTCCTGTTTTAACGATTTTAACATCGTTTACGATAATGATAACTAACGTTTTATCTTGTATTTATCTAAATAGGATTCGATATATTAATTGAAGCATTTTCCTAGATAAGATAATATCTATCCTTTCTTATCTATTTCATTCTCTTTTTCTCTCTCTCTTTTTACTTTTAATTAAATACGTTTATTTTTTACAAATTTCAAAATACAGTATCAATGACATTATATTACGCCTAGATCGTAGATTTTCATTTCAACTTTTAATCGTTCAATCGAAAAAAAATATTCTTATTCACCACCAGCATCTGCATTATATTAAGTTCATCCTGTGACCTTAGTTCATTTTATCGATTCACGATCGATCGAAGGTCACTCGATAATAAAACGTTCGATCGTGTATTCCATGCAGAAAGTAAAAGCCTTCGACAAGGAGTTTAAAATATTTAACTTAATACTATTCAACCCCCCACCCTTCCCCCTCCCATTAGCATTATCTTATCATGGTTGAAAAGGAGCCAAAGGGACAAAGTATTTTACAAGTACCACTTTACATACCAGTCTCGTATTTCTTCTAGCAAGAAAAAGAAAAACAAGGAAAGGTAGATAATCAGAAAGTGTGAGAAAGAGAGAAAAAGTGTTACTAAAACTCTTTTCTAGTACATTTTTTTCTCGATCAAACTATAAAATATCCTAGCCACAACTATTCACGGAACAACGTAATTGCGAATTACTCTTTCCTACTAGTATTACGAAGCATGTTACATCATCATCATCATTATCATCGTTATTCAAGGTCGAAGAATACGATAAAACTATAAATGGTAATATAACGTTATTCATGTTTTATAATATCGTAAAATATTATTATAACAATATATACAAATATTTTTAATTTTTTTTTATCTGTTCAATCCTTTATCTTTTATATTTTCATGGTGGTTTTGAACGGTAGAGTAACTATTGTAGTTTGAAGAAATAAAAAGAAATAGAAGGAAAAAATGTCCCATAGAACGACACGTTTTAACGAGGTTTTCCTATGCATACCAAAGAGAGATCAACGAAGGAAAGAGAAAGAGAGAAATGCGAATGATGAAGAAGGACGAAAGAGAGACAAAGAAAGAGAAGGAAACGAGAGACTATTGTGTGTGAGTGGCTGTGTTGCATTCCTTCTCGTAATAGGCAGACTCTACTACAGTCTGCTGCAACTTTTCGTTGTATATATACTCATATATATATATATATATGTAGATGTGTATGTGGGTGTGTGTGTGTGTATATAGCCCATATATTTTGAACCCCCCAATACGAAAGAGAAGAAGAGTTGAGGGAAGAAGAGTCACGCCACCACCCAGCATCCCCCTCCCCCTCCCCCAGTCGTCCCACCTCTTTCTTTTTTCCCTTCTTCTTCTCCCTTTTTACCAGACACATTTCCACGAATGGCGAGGCAAACGTTTCAACAAACGAAATACATAAACGCACAAGCTCGCGACTCGCATTTTAATCCTTGCATAATTTTTTCTTCATTTGTATTTCCTTTTTTCCTGAACCCCTCCCATCTTCATTCCACCCTTTGAATTTTTTGTTTGTTCGTTCGTTCGTTCGTACGTTCGTCTGATTATTGAAATCTATTCGTTTTGATTCGTTAAACATTTCTTGTGTGAAATATTCGATATTATGTTTTTTTTTTGTTTCTTTTTTATTTAATCTTATTTTTCTTATTTTACTCATGTAACAATAATCTTTTAGAATTTATTTATACGTTAATCGAAAGCAAATAATATAATATAATATGTGTAACAATATAATCTCATAGAATTTGTTCATATTAAAGTATTAATATATAAATAATAAATTCAAATTAAAAACAAATAATACATTTTAATATAATATAATATTACGGTTAATTATAATTCGCATAATTAATTGCATAATAAGACAAAAAAGATGTTGCGTACGTAGTAGATCTTAATCGCGTAGGATAGGAAAAAAAATATTGTAGAAAGTTGGCGATTGTAAAGAAGGCATACTCTCTCGTGCGACTTATTTATTCTTACCACGAAATAAAAAAAATAATAATACTAATCGTGAAGTAATCGTGGGAAAAAAGAAAAATTCCAAATATAAGAAAAAGAACTAAAGAAAAATTATAATATTTTCCATCAAATATCAACTAAAGTGTTAAAATTGTTCTGATCATTTTGTTTTTGTTTTGTTTCCAAAAAATATAACAAAAAGAAGTGTTGCATTTTATTTCGTGATTTTTATTTCTACTTTTTAAACAACTAACACACAGTTCGTTAACCGATAGAAAAGAAAATATACTATATAAAATAATAATATAAAATATGTTTAAATATAATTGTTACTTAAAAAATATCTAATAATACATTTTCAAACTCACCTCGTTGACGTATAGCGCCACCAGGATCCAACAGACTGCAGTTGCGATTCTGCGCGAGATCAGACGAAAAGTTGACCACTCGCGTGCTGACATTTTGGTAGCGTGCATGATGGATCCACGCGTTCGCGTGACTTTGTATCTTGGATACGAGGAAGGCAAAAAAAAACTCTCTCTCTCTCTCTATATGTATATATATATATATATAAAATAATAATAAGGATTAAGAAAAAAAGAATAAAAGGAAGACAGATAAGATTATAAAAAAAAAAATCACGTATGCCAACGTCGATGATCTCAGAGACCGGTCTCTCACGTCACATTTTCCTTATTTCCCAAGAAGATAGTCATCGTATCACGATTCTGACTGACTTCTCGTCGATGCCAGTTATCTTCTTCTTTCTTCTTCTTACATTAGATATCTTCCTCCTTGTCACACACGGTATATACAGGATACTATCGTGTTAGTTACGTAGATGTGTATACAGGATGCAAGGATTCTCAAATGTGTTCGTAAGACTGGTCCGTTCTTGTCTTCGATGAATTCAACACGAAAGACGCTGTGTTCCGTTCACCAAACAGGAGGAACAAGAAGAAGAAGAAGAAGAAGAAGAAGAAGAAGAAGAAGAATAAGAAAAAGAATAAGAAAAAACTATACTTTCTTCTTTTCTTTTCCTATTCCTTTTCCTTTTTCTTTACGTGAAAGTATGAAAATAATTTCGTTCAAAGATCGTGAAATCAACTGAAGACAACAACAACAAACAACAAACAACAACAAACAACAACAGCAACGGCGACGAGGATGGTTTCGAATGGAGTCTAGTGTTATACTGGCGAAATAATGATTGTCCGCGAGTTCCGAGGTGGCCCCAGGGACGCTCAGGTGTTCGTTCAGGTGTGCTTGGTGGGGGCCAGGACGGTACCGCAGCGGCCATTCCCTTTTCCTCCCGATACACCTCTGCTATCTACACGCATTCGTGTCTCCAGAACTGCTGCTACCTTCGCTACCACGCTTCTTGCTTGCCTGACTACTACCTCCTACTCTCATCTCTCTCTCTTTCTCTCTCTCTCTCTCTCTTGCACCGTTATTAACCTAAGTTTCATTTTCTTACCACCACGTGGCGGTAGCTTGCGATCACTATTTTATAGTTAAGGTAGAAATCCATTTTATCGTCCGTTGTTTTGAATTTTTCCCTTATTTTGTCCTTTCTTTTTTTGCAAGGGAATTTAAATGGAACGGTCATTGAACCCCTTCCCCCTTCCTCCTCTCCCCCCATTCGTACAACTAACTCTCGTCCTATATTTTTTTTCTTTTTTTTTTTACGATATACGCGTCGGGGTTGTACGTTGCGAAAACCCCCAAGGGGTTCGCGTTTTATTTCAATGATTTATCATGAATAATAATTTTTTTGTTTTATATTTTTTTTATGAATGCATTGTAAGTTCATACAATGTCCGGTGTATATTACTTGTTATTTCGTACAATCGATCTGCAGTTTTCATGGAATCCAATTGAATGGAAAGAAGCTACGTGTTATGTTAACAGGAGTTATAAAAGTATTGCAAGGTTTGTATTTTGAACGAATAAAGGTTGAAGAAAAATATGTACTACAAAGCACATATCATTATAGTGATATTTACCCCGACAAACAAGAGATTGCTTTATAAAATATTATACAACACAAAACAACAATAAGCAAAGCTTCATGTTTAACAAATATTTTTCTTTGAAGTATGAAGATAAGAAACAAAAAATTGTTATATAAATCGCGTGTGGAATTATTTCAAAATATATCCGCGAAAATATTCATTACACATGCAGAAATAATCTTGAGTAAAAAAATGGATTAATTATTATTATTATTTGTATTGATTTAAATTCGTAATTTTAAAACAGAGAGTTCAAAATGTTCGAATCAACGAATGAAATAGTTTTTCAATGATATAATCTTTTTTTATTGTTTTATTTTATTGTAATAATCAAAAGCAATCGATTAAATCAACGTCATGGTGTGTTAAATGTTCGCAGCATATAAATTGCTACGTGTCAGAATTGCTAACACGGTAACACTAGTTTATAGAGATAGTCATTGTCAGATTAATAGCTTCGTGCTTATCATTTTCTATGTTACGTAGGTCGATATGCGTATCTTGGCGTCTGTGAGTCTGCAAGATGTCGTTCGAGAGACACGTGTTAATCGAAATCAAATGTGATCTTAAAGGAAAAAGAAGACAACTGTTTCGATTCATTCAGAAAAATATTTATCGTGAAATATCATTTGTAAGAAGTGTACTTTACACGTGTATATTCATATTAGTATAGAAAATGAGACTGATAATATGAATTAAATGATTAATTTGACCTAATATCAATTAATTGAATGATGACGATTGATAAGAATACTTTAGATTAAAGATTTAACATTTTTATCCTTTTATTTTAAATTTTACAGATTGAAGTTATTCAACAATCTGAATGAATCCAATTTAACCACCAATGGCGTGACTTTTGCGAGATTATTATCATTTGTTCCATTTTATGGTATCGGTTCATCGATGGTATGTATATTCAATTTCCTTATGTGAAATCAATTTTATACGTAACAATACCCCTTACCTATTTATTTTTTCTTCCTTTCTTCGACAAAAAATTGTATCAAAAAAAAAAAAAAAAAATATATTTTGAAGAATGTAGCCCACATAAAATGGAAGATAAAAATCGTTCAAACGAAAAACGGTGTAGAAGTAGTAAATTGATTTAAAGATTCTTTAGAAATGTGAAAAAGGGGTAGGAAGAAAAAAAGGAAAATAATGTAAGGAACGCTCATATAAAAATTCTTGTCTCTCTCTCTCTCTCTCTCTCTCTCTCTCTCCATTTTTTTTCTCGTCAACTCTTGGTTGCACAGCTACAATCAATGTTACTGCTGACGAGAGAGAACACACGAACGAACGAACGGTTCTCTTGAAAATGTCAAAAGCGTATCTCTACACCACGTACCTTGCTACTGGGACCACATATTTCTCTCTCTCTCTCTCTCTCTCTCTCTTAAAACTTAAGAAGAGAAGGAAAAACTACGAAATGGAAAAACCGTAAGAGAGAAAAAAATAAAGTAAAGAAAGAGGGTAAAAAAAAGAAAAAAGAAAAGTGATTTTATGAGGGTTAAAATAGAGGGCGGGTGAAGGGGTCGGAGGACGGAGGGTGTTAGCAGAAAAAAAGAAAAGAAAGAAAAGAAAGAAAGAAAATAGGAAGAGAACGTTTAATCTAAAGCCGGCAAAAGTTAGCGAAGCGTGTTTGACACGCATTGGAAGAAGGAAAGAAAGCATGTTGCTCAACGAGCATTCGCAAACACGGAAGCGTAGCGTTTAAACACGAGTAGTATATAGATAATATAGATAGAAGATAAAAAAAAGGGAAAAGATAGAATGAGAAGGGGTAAGGGGAGGAAGGAAAGGTAGAGTACGAAGGGCTGGCTTTAGAAAAGGATAAACGTCGTGGATTACGTCTTCGTTTTTTCTCTTTCTCTTTCTCTTTCTTTTTTCTACGTTGGTTCTTCGATGTTCCAGAAGGAGGGTAGTCGAACCGAACGGGGAAAAAGAAAAGTAGAGGGTTGTAACTTGCGCAGGCGTCGAGGTATCGATTCAAAAGGCCTCTGGGCGACACCCTCGCGCCGTTTCACGGTCGAACTTCACTGCTTCACCGGCAAACTAGTGAGTAGTACACGCGCACGCGACGCAGGTAAGTGTTCCTCTTTTCAAATCATTTTTTTCTTTCTTTCATCCTTTCTTTTTTTTCGTTTTTTTTTTGCTTTCTAATTCTTACGAGCCGATGATCCCATATGAATTCGTACACATTCGTCATTCATTCATTTCCAATCGTCTGGTATCTGTCTAGATCACAGGTTTGTTCCTTTACGTGACGTATCATAAATCTTTTCGTACCTTTCATCGTCACCGGAATTATCCTTTTATTTTTTTTCGTGGAAAAAAAGAAAACAAATTTTAATTTTTTAACCTTTTTGTTTCTTTTGTTTTTTTTTTATGCGAAATTATTGAGAATGTCGGTTTGTGCAAGTGAATTCGACTAATTTTCGTCATTACCCTTAGTTTTTATTTTTTTTTTTTAACGTAAATACGAACCACGAAGGAATAAATTTTTTTTTCGTGGGAAAAAGAAGAAAAGGAAATTTCTGTATTCCATTATTTTTTCTTTTTTTTTTTTTTTTGACACGAAATCATTCAGAATGTCGGTTCGTGCAAGTGAATTTGATTAATTTTTGTTATTACCCTTAGTTTTTTTTTTTTTTTTCACGTAAATGCGAACGACTAAGGATAAAGAAAAATGTCATGGTGCACACGATAAAAAAAAGAGAGAGAAGAATTTATTCGGAGCGGGCAACTTTTTGGCTGCACCGATCCACGCATACCGCTACGCGCATACCTTTTTTCACGTGATCGTTTCATCTTCTCCGCTTTTACTATATGAGGGGGGTAGTAGATAGATAGGATAGTATCTTTCGTTATATCAGTCAGATATCGTCTAAAGGTTCTCAACATTCTGTTTCTTACAAATTTACGATTTCAAAGGATAAAGGGGTAGGCCTTTAGAAAAAAGTTTCAAATAACTTATTTTAAAACTGATCATTGATTTTAGAAAAAGAAAAAGATATTCCTCCACCCACGAGACAGATAATTTTTGAATGGGTTAAAGTATCCCGAAATTTTTGAGACTCGAAATACACGAGAAAGTACACACTCCTACAAAATTTCCTCTATTCATTTTTTCTTCTTTTCTTTTTCAAGTTAAACTCTTAAAGTCAACCGGAATTTAGCTAATTTCACTTTACATATATGTAAAGTAACTTGTGTTCTTAATAAAATCTACATTTTATCGCTATTTTCTAACACTAACGTGTTCATTACTAAATTAGATATATTTTTTTTTGTTTCTCTTACAAACGTTTTTATCATTTTAAAAGTGATAACGTAGAAAAACCCATAGGCATACAAGCGTTATATATATATACAGGAGTTAATACACCGTGTTACGTAAAAAGAATCCTTATGCAAGGTATTTAATACTAAAAGTCGTGATTTTTCATTCTCACATTGTGCATGTGAACATTTCTAAATTTTTGATTTGTTTTTTTTTTCTTCGTTAGACGATAATATCATTTCGAAAGCTCAAATCGTTCAATTATTTTCGATCGATGTTTTCTGTCTCCTCTATTCAACACCCCCTTCCCCCATTTCCCCATCCGATTAATGGACACGTGAATTAAACGACAAATAATTTAATTGTACGGTGATACACATCAAACACTATTATAAAATGACGTCTACCATAAGTGAGAAATGAATTTGCAACGAATAATAATTCACGTTTATCGAGATCGACAGATTTTTCGAGCAACGAGAATAAAGTGCTTTTCGTGAGGGAGAGATAGGGGTTGGAACAAAACGTAATAGCATTATAAGTTGACACGATATATATCTATGATACTCGAGAATAATACATTGTTCAAAAATATTAAATGAACAACGTTAAGAGAACGGTATTTTAATTCGTAAAATATTCGTTTAATAATATTGTCGAAAAACTTAATAATATTTAAAATAATATTTTAAAAGAAACAATATATTAAAACTATTTATAATTTAAAATATTAAAAATAAGAATAATTAAAAGAACAAAAATAATATTTAAATTAATATTAAAAAATAATATTTTAAATAATATTTAAAAGAAAAGAAAATATAAAATTTATTGTGTAATTATTTTTTTATCTTTTATCTAATAATAATCATTTTATTTAATATTAATGTAATACTTTTGTCTCTCTCTTTTTCAGATTTCAACTCGAAACGTTTAGTTTCTCCTTCCTCACCTCTCTTATTTATAGCCCTTTTCGTTCATATTTATTAAATCCTTACTTTCAACTTAACTCTTAACAATTTTCCGTGCAAAATTTCTAAAAGAGAAAGAAAGAGAAAGGAATGATAAAAAATTGATCAAACAAAAAGGAACAAAAAATTAAATCAACTCGTTTGAGAAAAAGAAGACTCGAAACGAGTTAGATTTGTTTTGACGAAACAAAAAACAAATAAAGTAACTATCCGATTCTCCAAGAAAAAAGTACAAGCCCTAGAGACAAAATATTTAAAGAAAAATCAAAGAAAATAAAAGAAAACGAATCGGAAGACTTTAGTCAAAGAAATAAAGTCAACGTAATCCATCAAAATTACCGGCCGCGGCGGTTGCGCCAAATATTGTGGTACAGCTCCATCACCCGGCAACATTTCATTCTCCAGCTTACGTCAATCCTTTACTACCAATGTCAACTACCTGAAACGAAGGTAAGATAAACTTTCGAATTTGTCCGTGATCGTATATTTCCTTGACTCAATTTATTCTTATTTATATTTCTATTTTGCATGTAAGAGGAAGAAACAACGAGAAAAAAATATTCACATATGTTTTTAATAAAAGATATATAACATTTTGTTCATATTTTTTTTTTTATTTTATCTATCCATCAAATTCTTCTATCCTAAGTAATGTGTGTGTATGTATATGTGTTTTCAATTTATAAATGTTTTATTATATTATTAATGAATTCCCCTAAATTAAACGTTTTTTATCGCGGCTGTTCTGTTATATCACAAAAGAAATTCTTGTCGTTTGAATAAAAATAACAATAAAAAAAAAAAAAAAAAAAAATACAAATCTCGATGTTTGCATGCAAGAGGAAGCCGCTTAATCGCATTAAATGCTGAAAAAAAAAAAATACCAAATGCGAAGTTCGATCTATCAACGATTTCCACGTCATCATTCTAGATATTCGGATAGGTCACGTTACAGAAAACGAGAAATACGACATTGATGTGAAATCAGATATATATATCTTTAACATATAGCTTATAACTTATACATATATCTGTTAACACACATTTTCCATTTACTAAACGGCCTATGATTACTATAAGAATTTGGATTACAATATTACTTTTGAAACAAATTTCGTTAACAAAAATAAAAAAAAGAATGAAAGGTTTTCTCATGATTATTTTTTTCATATTACAACCTAATCGTTTTTTTTTTTTTTTATTATTATTTCTTTTCTTTTCACATATTATACAGAATACGTTTAATTCCGCACGAAACGTCTGTTTACCATTTTATGTATTATGGTTATCTACAACCAAAGCAAACCACAAATCTGCACGGACTCTGAAGCAACACAAAAATTCATTGTAATTTTAAATATCATCGACAAATATGAAAAATTGTTAAATGTGTTTTTTTTTTCGAATGTCCGTTTCTTTTTTCTTTTGGTTTTTTTTTTTTGAGGTTATGCGCGCAGCACGTTATATAAGCCATTTATTATTCGTTTAATCGTTTTTATACGTTTTTTTCAAAAATTCATTTTATATGTCGGTCTGTTGTACACGTTTCATTTATTGTTTTCATTCAACACGATTGTATATATAAAAAAAAAAAAAAATAATAAATAAAAAAAAAAAAGAAAAACAAAGAAACAGATCAAATTTTTCACATGAAATTTGACAATTTCAGAGAGTCTGGCGCGAGCGAGCGTCACGTGTGTCCGGTCGAAAGATTAAAAGAAGTCCGGTAGGTTTTGGCTGTGGATAATCCTTTACTCCGACCATTTGTTTTCCACCCACCCCCGTATATAATACATCCGTGTCGTTTGCAGACCACCCCTATTTCATTTCGTTTACGTTAAATTTCGAATTGAAGCACATTACCTGGCACAAATTGTGCACGCACAGTGCATTATTTTCTATTTTTAATTTCAATTATTTATCGTTAAATAAATAATTATTTTTTTTTTTTTGTAAAATGACTACAAATTCGTTTCCATCCCCCTGTCCTATCCAAAATTTGTTCTCATTATTATATAATTATAAAAACAATTCTAAATTGTCTTACGTTTATCTCATATACTCTTTCTCAGATTTAATATTTGATTTAATTAAAAATAATAATAATAAAAACGCGCATATATTTAAAAAAAAATGTTCGCTATCATGTCGTATTTGAAAAAAGAATCCAACAGCTTGGCCTTGAAATCGCAAGATAAAATTGGATGTTGAAAAAGTACCCCGCATGAAAGATTTGATCAAGAACGGCAAAACCTGGCGTCTGAGTTCTCGGCAGTTGTCCATGCAACGATAACAAAAATTGTCATCGTCATCGTCATCGTCACTACTACCAGAGCACGACTACCACCACCACCACCACAACTATTATTACCACCACTACCACTACCATCATCATCACTACTACTACTACTACCTCTACTGCTACTACTACCACCTGCAACAACTGCACCCCTGGCTGCTGTTGATGTGCCTTAAGAAAAGCTAGGAAACTTTAAAAAAAAAAAAGAAGTGGGGGAGGGAAAGAAAGATAGAGGAAGCTATTAAAAAAAATCAAAACTCGTCCGGTTTTTTGTTAACGGGCGACAATGATAAATTATCGTTATCACGACGACCACCATAGCTTGTCTTCCAGGTTCTCGTCAGGAGATTTGAGCTCGGAGCTCGACGATGAACCGAATACGGAATCCGGGCTGGCCTCCGTGGCGCGGCAGGACTCGTCCTTGCCGTATCAGGCGGTCCCAGATAGGCCACTTCAATCTCAACCAGCACCAATACCACCAACTAATCAACCACCGATACCGGGTGCACCGCCAACTGGACCCCCACCTCAACCAATTGGCGGTGATCTCAGCTTAAACTTAAGACCGGGATCTAGGACCACCAGTGCACCTTCATCGCCAGCCAAAAGCCGTGAAAGTCTATTGCAAAGAGTTCAAAGTCTTACAGGAGCTGCCAGAGATCAGGTTGTGTGTTCATTTTTATTAACGTGTATCTTTTTTCTTTCATATTTTTGTTGATGGTTTGTTTTTTGTTCTATAACTGATGAGATCAATCAAACGTAACCTCTTAGGCACGGTTGAATGTTGAGGGGAGCTGTTTCTTTGTACGGCAGGGTTAAATAGACAATAAAATATTTAATAATTAAATTATATAATTTTTCTTTTTTAAATATATTGCACACATATACTTTAAATTAAACAATTTACTTTAATAATTATTAATATAATTAGATATGATATATTTTAAAAGATGTCATCCGTAGTGCCGAAAAGGTTAATTATCGTGAATATATGTTTAGATGGAAGATTTTATAAGATGGATAAGAGATAAATGAATTCATTAGTATGTAATATTTTCATTTATCATTATCATACTTTATCTTATTGTTTTCACATTGTTACTTGTTGGTAATTGAATTTTCTTACTCACCCTCTTTCTCTCCACGTTCGATCGAATTAAAATGCTTCCCTCGCGACGACCTAGTTTTATGAATATCGGATAATCTATCCTGCCTCATGTATAATCGTTTCATTCGATAACGACTTTGATATATAGAAGTACGAGAAAAAATAAAGAATATTAAGAATAGAATGAAATATATTCGATTATTATTATTAATCGTATAATGATAAGAATAAAAAGGCAAATATTATTACGATAGTGTTGAAGAAACTAAAAGAAAGAGAGAGAAAAAAATGTCAAGTTAGCATAGGAGAGATCTCGTTGACCCCATCGATATAGCACACCGACCGAAAACTGGGTCGCGAACTCCTAGGTTAAGAAACTCTAATGATAAAGAAAGGTGCTAATAGGGTTGCCATAATCGTTTATTTTTTCTTTTCTTTTCTTTTTACTTTCTTATTCTTCTACTCTCTCTCTCTCCCTGTTGAGTAATGCAAGACAAAGAATAGTTATAAGGGGTGGAAAAGAAAAACAGTGACTTATGATTTAAAAAAAAAAATCGTATAGTAATTTCTTTCTTCATAATACTTTCTCATATCAATATTTTAACATTTTTAATTAAAAAAAATTAAATCTCATTAAAAAGTATATCGCGAAAATTGTTATTGTTGTTGTTGTTGTTGTTGTTGTTTTTTTTTCTTTTTCCCGTCGACTAATTTAATTTTACACACGAGATACGGAAAAAAACGAAATAGAAAATAAAGGGAAGGAATTGTAAATTGGTGGTGGTGTTGGTGATTTTAGGGAGCATCCATTTTGGGAGCAGCAGTTTCAGGCGCCACTAGGGGACCCTCCTACAGCAAGGATCGATGCTTCACTCTCTTGGTGATAGATGATCAGAATACCGATTGGAGTAAATATTTTCGAGGTAGAAGACTTCATGGGGATTATGAGATTCGAGTTGAACAAGCGGAATTTCGAGAATTGTCTTTGACAGCAAATGAAATTGGTACCACAGTTTCCATGGCAGTTTATCGCAACGGAACTAAAGTCATCAGGTTAACTTATGTTAATTTAAAAATAAATCTAAAAAAAATAATTTTAAAAAGTGGTAAATTTTTATAAATGCACGAACTTGGCAGATCTTTCAAGCCGGATTTCGTGCTGGTTCGTCAAAATTTGCGTGACGCTGGCGAGGACAACAAAAATCTTCTTCTTGGTTTGATGTACGGCGGCATACCAAGTGTTAACAATCTTACGGCTATTTACAACTTTCAGGTAATCATCAGGATTATTATTTTGCTTTCATTTGCAAATTTAAATCTACGACACATTTTTTATTCGATAAATTTAAACAATTAGAATACCTTAAAACATTTTTTCTTTTTACGTATCAATGAATTTGTGACTGTGTTTCTTTTTTAATTAATCATTTATTTTGATATTTTAATGATTTTCAAGGACAAGCCATGGGTATTCGCACATTTATTGGGTCTTCAACGCCGTTTGGGCAAAGAAAATTTTCCTCTGATCGAACAAACCTTTTACCCTAATCATCGTGAAATGGTAAGTGGAATCAATTGGTAATGTTGTTGTTGTTTCATTGTGTTGCTTCATATATGTGCTTTTTTTTTATCTCAGATAAAAGAAAATTTATTTTTCACATTTTTTTTTCATCGATCACATGGTTAATCTATTAATAGGTGTTATATCTATGCGTATACGTTTATAGTATACAAATATCGTTACGTTTCTTCGATTAATCGTATAAAACGATTGAATACATACAAACGTAAACTTTAGTTACAAAATTGCTTTACGAAATGCAAAGTATATTTAATAATATATTTATATATATATAAGGTTTTAATATTTTGTACTAAATTTCAAACCCACGTGGGATACATGGGTTCTCGCCACTATCAACGAAAACGACGAGTTACGAGTCACACGAGACTCTTAAAAATCTCTCGGCTACACATCTCTCTTTTTTTAAATCATACATTTTAAATATTATCTTTCTATAACGCGCATATCAATATATTTTGATAAACGGTGGGTAATTTTTCTCACGGATCTAAACAGTTTTCTCAATAATTTTTCAATGAAGTCAAAACGTGAGTAAAAAAAAAAAGAATTTAATAAATAACAATATTAATAATAATAATTATAATAATAATAATAATATCAATAATATTAATATAAATAATAAAATGATACGATCGTCGAATAATATTACAAAATAAAAAAAAATAAAATAAAAAAAAATAAAAATAATAAGAAATAAAAAAAGAACAAATCACAATTTGTTCGTTCGAATCGAATAAAAATGTTGATTAAAAAAAAAAAATAATAATAAAAAAAAATAGGAGTTAACTTAAAAAAACTATCGCTTAGTATTTACGTGCAAGAACAAAATAACTTATACGGATTTACAATATACACTAAGTGCTAAAATTAACGGGGTGGGGGTGGGAGTAGGGAATAGGAGGAAAAAAAAGGAAAAAAAAATTATAGGAGTTGAAAGAAAAATTATATACAATCTTCTAAGGAGTGGGAGGGAAAAAGCGCAAAAGAAAATTGCCTCTAGTCAAAATAGAAAATTTCTTTTCAATCTGTTCTACTATTTTCTTTCATTTAATACGATTCCGGAAAATGAATGATCTCACGCACGGTTGAGTAAACGTTATTTCGATCGATCATCATTAACCCCATTACTACCCACCGTAACCCCCAACTGTTACACCCTTGGATACTACGAAGTCTTACCAACTACTGACCGTTGACAATCAAATTATTAATAACTTAATAAATGACAAAGTTTATACACGAGCTGACATCTAATACCACGAACTAGATCGATATATCTTTTTTAATAGTTTGTCATAAAATCGTGATTGTAACAAATTACTTTTTTCTTTTTTTTTTTTGGTCCCTCGAACACCTTTTATAGGATTTATCCTAGAAATTTATTCTATTTTTTTTTGTCTCGAATATACCTTTTATAAATTTATTTTTGAATTTTACTCTAATGCCTTTGTACTAACAAGTTTTCTTTTACTTTCTTTTTTAATTTTATTCTATTTCTATTGTAAGAAATATTTTTCTTTTATTTTCTTTTTTTTTTTGTATCATCGTCATTATCGAATTATCGTTAAAAAAAATTGAAGAAATAAGTTCAAATAATTTTAATAAATATTAAAAATAAATTTAGATATTCTTAGCAATGATTTGAGATATTTATATTTTTGCATGTATTCGAAATATTTTTGTATAAAAATCAAATAGTGCAAATTTTTGTTTCTAAATAAAAAATAAAATAAATATAAATATAACGTATAAAAATCGACACACGGAAGTTTCCTCTCATTCGATATCAATTTATGGAAAAAAAAAAATAATCAATATCTACGAAAAACGAGACGTGAAAAAAAGATAAAATTGTGAAGAGGGTTTAACTAGGATTTTTTTTTCTTTTCAATACACTTAGTTTATCGATCCAGGTTCGTTGATAGTATTTTCTACGGTATCGAGTCTATTCAAGTTTTCTATTTTCAACGAATGACTTCCATCCAAGTGCAATCACTATGTCAATTAAGAATTACGGTATGTCGGCGTGGATTTGTCGATTTCCAATATCGGCAAACATTCGTACTATATTTTTTCTATTCTTTTTCTATTTTGCGCGAGTAAAAGTGAAAAGAGAAGATTAGAAATGAGAGAGAGAGAGAGAGAGAGTGGGGAGGGGAAAGATAAGGAAGATAAGAGGAAAAATAAACATTTCGTTAAGGTTCCCTTAATCTCTCCTGATCGCGTTTCCGTTGATATTCCTTGATGCATTTTTTGTATGGTACGGATGGTGTCCAGGAACAACCATTAGGTCCTTTTTTGCATACACCATATTTTTCTTGACAATCCTGTGGACCTGGTGAACTTTCCCATAGACAATGTTTTCCACCGGTAGATTCCAATACAGCACCTTTTCGCCACCAAGGCGTGTAGGATATCTATAAATAATATTATAAATAAATTCTTAGATTTATATATATATATATATATAATCGTGAAATTGTTTTTCATCGATTGTTAAAAAAAGTTACAAAAAAACAACAAAATCGAAATTATTTTGTTCTGTCATCATCTTTGAAATAATTTTGAATTATAATTAAGAAAAACGAAAAAATACAATGATAATATTTCCAATAATCTTATTTTACCGATATTAATTCGAAAAGTATAAAAAGAAAGAAATGTTATTTATTTATTTATTTATTATATATTTTATAAATTAAAAGTAATGTTCTAAAAGAATTGTCAATTGAAAATATTATTATATTTATATTAAAATACTTGATGATAAATTGTTTACTCGAAATAATTTTTCAATCACAAGTATAATTTCCTATGACATATTTGAATAAAAATATTTTGTGAGTAACCGTGTAGAATCTTTTCTCTTTTTTTTTTTTTTTTTTAATAAAATATTCTATTTACCTCGCAAACGCATCCATGACGATAAAGCAGTCTAAATCCTTTTCGTTGTCCGACGGGTACTTCGGATAAAGGAATGGCAAGATTGCAAATAGATATTATTGGTCTTCCTTCACTTATAATTCCACTGACGACGTAAGTTTTTCCTTCAGTTAAATCAATTATACCGCAAAGTGAACTGTAACCGGGCGTGGTAAGGATGTTCTTTCTCAAGGCAACTTCTGCTTCTGGAGATGACTAAATAAAAGAAAAATAAAAACAAAATTATATTACAATTTTTATTAAGTGATTACTTTTTAAAAATTGTATATAATCTATATAATATAATATTATAAATAAA